TGGTATTCCCCTTACTAAACCTTATACTACTTCTCTATATGGTACTTTCCCAAAATAGGGGGACCCCAATACAGACCCCAAATACTATAGTCCTTACTATGGGGACCCCCAAAGAAGTACCCATAATTTTGGGAAATCCCCATATAATCCCTTATAAACCCCCCTTTAAGGAGTTTAGAGTATAGCTCATTTGAGCCTGTCGCGAGCCCCCGGGATGCTAGGGCTCTTGCCGAAGAGGCACCTGGCACTAATAGCAGCGTAGCAGTAGGAGTGGCAGTAGTAGTAGTCAGTAGTAGTCAGTAGTAGTAGTAGTAGTAGTAGTCGTCAGTAGTCAGTAGTCAGTAGCAGTAGTAGCAGCAGTGGCAGGAGCAGGAGTAGGAGTAGTAGAAGTAGGAGTATTAGCAGCAGCAGCAGTAGGAGGACTAATCGTTGTAGCAGCAGCAGTAATTGTAGTAAAAAGGAGCATTGGGTTTTAGGGACTTAAGATAAGGGTCTTAGGTGTCAAGAGGTTCGTGTTATCCCTCCCGCCTCGCCGCCTGGCTGTAGGTGTGTAGGGGATAGGGTGCAGGGGTTTCCCAAAACTGCGGGTAGCCTTAGGCACCCTAAGGATGCATGGCGGTCACATAGGGACTACAGGGCTCTCTCTTATTCGACATCTGCGGAAGCCGCAATGGTCACCCTTTATAACGCGGCACACTGTGTTTGTATATAAGCCCTACATAAGCCTCGGAACCCGTACTTAGTTGGGAAGAAGGCAGATCAACCAAGCTCTGTCCGCAGGAAAGCACAACCTCGGAAATTTCAGCTTTCTCCGCCGTGAAGCTCACGTACATAACAAACACCCATTTGGGTTGATGATGTGTGGAAATGATGGAGACCTTTTGTGGCAGACCAACCACTAAAACAGAATGAAAGCGTTCAGAAAGGCTTCAGGTGGTATGCACATGGCTGCAGAACACATGTGCAGGCTGCCACTGTTGGCCATCGCTTTGGCGAGGCGGAGATCAACTTGTCTTACTGGTTCTTGCAAGGGGATAAGGGAATATTATGTACAGGGGTTATATAGGAATCATATTCCCTTATTTCCCCACCAAAAACCAATAAGTTTTTTTGGATAGGGCCAACAGGATTCTTTGCATTGAGCTTTTCCTTCCTAAACCCTGAACCCTGAACCCTACCCTACCAAAAGAGGGGTAGATTAGAGTCCAGGAAGGTCCCAAACCCTAAACCCCAAACCCTAAATCAGCAACAAAGCCCTTGTCCGCGGTGACCTGTTGGCTCCCTCCCATGGGACAAATCACAATCGAGGCATCTTGGACACCTGAAACATCCTGCAGCCATTCCTATATGAGCTATAGTCTAAGATTCCCTTCATGACCCCAGGGTTTATTGTTTGGGGTTTGGGGTCTAAACTCTTAGTATCCCGCTAAGTAACCCCTATAGTAATTCCCTAAGTAATCCCCTAAATAACCCCCCCCCCCATTAAGGAGTATTGCTCATATGATCCACGCATGTTCCTTTTACCCAACTTTTTTGTTCAAGGGGGAATATGGCGCTAAGAAACGCCCCCGAAAATCCCCATGGGCTGCTTATGTGTACCTTCTCCCAGCCCGGTGGTCTGATGGTAGTTTACCTAAGTAGGGGGACCCAAAATACTATAGTCCCCATTTTGGGAATGCCAGAAAGGTACCCCTAATTTTGGGAAACCCTCAACCCTTTTTAATCCCTCTATATCCCTACATACCCCTATATAGCCCCTATACCCCCCTTTAAAGGGTACCCCTAGTTTTAGGAAATCCCTAATCCCTAAACCCCTAATCC